ATAGATATATACATACATATAAACACATACACACAAATATACATACATACATACATATATGAACACACACTTTCCCTAACAAACTCTACTCCTGATCTTTGTTTTTATGTATGTGTGTATCTCTTATTTCCTATCCCTCCTGATTCCTCTACTTTAATTCTACAGGCTACTTTGCCCTCCTGTCACTTAACCTACCTCCCTTATCTCTCAAGGATCTCTCCCTTATCCTCCCATTCCCATTAACCTAATCCTCTTTAACCTAGTCCCTCACCCTACCCTCTCAAGATCCCTCCCTCATCCTCTCCCCACTCCCTATCCCCTTAGCATTTTATTTCTTACTTTAGAAGACTTTTATGCTTTTCTATATATACATATATTATTCCCTCTTGAACCCATTCCCAATGAAAGTAGGTTTCCAGAACTAACTGTGTTGGTTTTTCCTCTCACCCCTCATTTGTATAAGATAATTACTCTTTTTAACTGTTCTTAAACAGTTTTACTTTTTAAAGTAATTTTTAAAGTCAAATTTCATTCAGAATTATGCTTAGCTTTGCTGGGTATGATATTTTTGACCGGAACCCCAGTTCTTTTGCTCTTGAATGTATTGTGTTGCAATACCTGTGGTCTTTTAGTGTTGCTGCTGCTAGGTCTTGTGTGATTCTAATTGTGGTACTGCTATATTTAAATTGCCTTTTTCTCGATGCTCATATATTTATCCTTGAGATAAGGGTTTCAGAATTTGACTATAATATTCCCATGGGTTTTCCTCATAGGATCTCTTTCAGGTGGTGATCGGTGGATTTTTTCAATTTCTACTTTCCCCTCTTGTTTTAATACTTCAGGACAATTGTCTTTAATTATTTCTTTTATTATTGTATCAAGATTCTTTTTTTTGATTATAGCTTTCAGGTAGTTCTGATTATTCTTATATTTTCTCTTCTTCATCTGTTCTCCAGATCAATTGTTTTTCCTATGAGATATTTCACATTCTCTTCTATTTTTCATTTTTTTTATATTTTGTTTTATTATTTCTTGATCTCTTGTAACTTCTTTTGTCCAATTCTGATTTTCTAGGAGTCACTTTCTTCCTTAAGATTCTGGATCTCCTTTTCTAATTGGTTGACTTTCTTTTCATAATCTTCTTGTTTTTCTTGGATTTTTCTTCTTATTTTTTAAAAATTTTTCCTCAATCTTTCTCATTTGATTTTAAGTCTTTTTTAAGTTCTTCTATGAATTCTTTTTGGGCAGGTGACCATTTGACATTACTCTGTGGGGTAGATGAGGGTTTCTTTGCTTCAGTATCCTCTTCTGAAGAACCCTAATCTTCTCTATTCCCATAGTAACTCTCTATGGTTGAATTCTTTCTCTTTTGCCTGTGCATTTTTTAAAATTTACAGTAGCTTAGTCTTTGTAATCACCTTAATCATGGGATATAGAGGATGGTCCCTTTGGCCTCAGATCCTCCTTCAGTTCTCCCCTCTGGCCTGGAACTGAAACCAAGACCTCCAGCCTCCTCTAAGTGCCCACAGCCAGAGGTGTCCCCACCTCACTGCTTCTGCACTCACTGGGTGTGCGCTGTTTCCTTCTCACCCCCAACCCCCGGGCTGAGTTTCTGCAGCACAGCTAGGTCTGGTGTTCCTTGTCAGCAGAAGTTCTCTCGATCTTCTCCAGCTCTGATGCCCAACTCCCCTCACTGTTCCTGGGGTAAAAGTTCTCCTAGCTGGGGCTGAGGCAGCTTCCCAACCCAGCTAGCCCCAGGGCTTGCCGCTTGTTATTTAAGGGAACCTAGCCTGGAGGTATTTACTCTTCACAGGTACCAAACCTCATCCTGGGATTTTTCTTCAGATCTTCTCCAATTATCTCAAGAGGACCCCTGTTCTACCCCTACTCTCATTTATTTTTACCACTCAATATTCACTCTGAGGCACTATTTCATCTCTTTTGTGGGGGAAAACCTTGAGAGCTTGGATTTTTCTGACCTACTTTGCCATCTTCCCAGAATCCTACCATCATCTTTAAAATAAGGGAGTTAGAATACATGATCTCCAAGGTTTCTCTGAGCTCTACAATTCAATTGTAGTCCCAATATCAATGGGACTAAAAAGTTATGGTATAATATGATAGGAAACAATGAGTGTTGTTGGGTAATTATTATATAGATGAAAACTACTTAATGAATCTGAGAGTTACAACACTGATAACTACCAGAAAATAAAGAAACAAGAAGAGTAGCCAAATAATAAATCAATCCTACCTGGGAAGTTTCTTTGAGAAAAGTTGAAGTTTCACTGGTCTCTGAAATGTCAGATTCATCACTACTAGGAAAAAAGCAAAAGCATTTTGCTTAGATGGCAAGACTTTTTGTTGAGATTTTTCCCTGAGAAATGGCAGCAATAACCTGACAACAAAGTTCTATATATGTACAAAATGGATATTTACAAAGTGACATGATTTTTAGCAAGGCTTTAATTCCAATAATGTTTTCCTTGTTTACCGATGCCTAAGTTTTTTTTTTTAAATAAAGTAACGAAACCATTCATTTCATGTGTCCTTGGTAAAAATAATACAATGAAAATAAAATCATTCACACTAAAGTAGATAGCAGAGCTATCTAGGAGAGTGGGAAAAACCTGGAGGGACTGTCAGAAGATTGGGCTCCACAACTGATTTGGAAAATTATTAGCTATGTGGCCATAGTCAAGGTATCTAACAACTCAGGTTGTTAATTCCCTCATCTGTGGAAATGGAGTAATTCTTGACTAGCTTATTTCACAGAATTCATGGAAGCATGAAATGTGACAGTGTATTTGAAAACACCTTGGAAAATTAAAGCACTATACAAGCATAAGGTATTATTAACATTACTAATATCATCATCATCAGCATCATCATCATCATCATCATCATCATCATCTCCTTGGAGGAGGGAGTAAATACCATGACTGTATTGGGTGCCTGTAGGAAGACTAGGAATCAGTATATTTTGGTTTAGAGAATTCCAGAATTAGAAAGGACCTCAGAGACCATCTCATCCAAACTGTATATGAACAAAATTATCTGTTAAAACCGATTTACAGAGACAAAAGTGTAATAGTCCTTACTTTCTTATGTGGAGGGGATGCTGTGAACACATAGAATTAGATACAGAATACATATGAAATGACTAGTTTGGGGAGGTTGTGCACTAGTAGGGGGGGACAGCCAAGAAGAGTTTTATAAAGAAGTTGGCACCTGATCTGAACCCTGAAGGAAACCAGGGATTTTGAGGGGTGGAAGTGAGGGGTGAATACATTACAGGTATAGAGGCCAGCTAGCATAAAGGCATGGAGATAGACGATGGGGTATTGAGTGTGGAACAATCCACATCAAAGTGAATCTAAATCTGGATCACATGATGCAAGAAAAGGAATCAAAACTAGAAAGTTAGAATGGGGTGGGTTGTGAAGAGCTTTCAATTTCAAACAGAGAACTTATATTGAATTCTTGAAGCAACTGGAGCCATTGGAGTTTAGTAAGTAGGGAGAGGACATAATCAAACCTGTGAGTTAGGAAAATCATTTTGGTAGCCGTGAGGAGGGTGGCTTGGTGTGGGGAGATACTTGAGGCAGGGAGACCAAATGGGATTCTACTGCAGTAATCCAGGAGATAAGTGATGAGTGCCTTAATTAGGGTGGTGATTTTGCAGGTGGAAATGAGGAGATGCATGTGATAGGTGTTGTGAAGATAGAAATGACAAGCTGTGGCAACTGATTGGATATGTGCAGTAAGTGAAAAGGAGAAATGAGGATGAAAGGGAGGTTGCTACCCTGGGTGAATGGAATGATGGTGGTGACCTTGACAGTAATAGCAAAGTTTGGAAGATGGGTGTGTTTAGGGAAGGAAAAGTAGGTGGGAGCAGTATTCTAAAAACCCAGAAAAGAGACAATTATTCAGAAGGAGGATATGGTTAGTGACCTCAAATGGAACACAGAACTCAAAGAGAATGAGGGTTAAGGAGAGGCCATTAGATTTGGTGATTAGGAAATCTTTGGTAATATCAGAAAGGGCATTTCAGTTGTTATAAAGCTGTTAGCAGGATTTCTAAAGGGTTAAGAAAAAAGAAAGGAAATTGGGGAAATGAATGTTAATGGCTTTTTCCAGAAGTATGTCTGAGAAAGAGAAGGAAACTATAGGATGCTAGCAGGGATGTAGGATATAGTTTTGTGAGTGTGTGTGTGTGTGTGTGTGTGTGTGTGTGTGTGTGTGTTTGAGAATGGGGAAGACTTGGTGATGTCTCTAAGGTAGCAGAGAAGTAACCAGTAAACAGAGAGAAAAGGATATAATACTGGGACCAAGGGTGCAAGAAGAGGATTAGGCCTTGGTGAGGAAAATAGTCACCTTTTTATCAGATGGGTTGGGAGATGGAGAGGAGGGGAGAAAAGGGAGTCTTTGGCAGAAAATTTCAGCTGGGGGCAGGGTGAAGTATGAAGGAAGGGCTTGAGCTGAGAGAGTATAAGAAGTCAGTTCTGTTGGAAACTTTAGGAAAGAAAAGAAAGTTTGGAACAGCGAATGTGGAGAGTTACATCAAGTAGGTAGGATGAAAAAGATGGCCTTGCTGCATCAATGGCTCATTTGAGATTAGGTAATATAAATTTGTATTAGTTCCAGTCACCACAGTTGTAAGACTTTCTTTAGTCTTGCTCAGCAGTACCAGTAGAAGTGGCAGAGGTGAATTGATACCTGTAAAGTATTTATCTAGCCTCTACCTGAAGATCACTTATTAGGGAAAGACATTAATTCCCAAGGCATTTCATTCTGCTTCTTGATAGTTCTAATTGTTAAGAAGTTTTTTTTTTCCTTTTTGGTGAGACAGTCAGGGTTAAGTGACTTGCCCTGGGTCACACAGCTGGTAAGTGTCAAGTGTCTGAGGCCGGATTTGAACTCAGGTCCTCCTGACTCCAGGGCCGGTGCTCTATCCACCGTGCCACCTAGCTGCCCCTGAAGTTTTTCCTATATCAAGACGAAATTGCCTCTTTGTAACATTTCTCTTAATTCTGCACTCTGGGTACAAACAAAACAAGTCTAACTCCTCTTCCATGAGAGAGCCATCCAAATATTTGAAGAAGGCTATCATGTCCTACCCAAAGTCTTCCCTTCCCTTACCAGTTTCTTCAACTACTCACAACAACTCATGTGGCATGGTTCCTAGGCCTTTCACCATCTTTATCACAATCTTCAATTTATCAATTCCTTCTTAAATTGTATAACCTTAACCAAACACAATAGTCTAGATGTGACTAATACATAATACAGTATGACCATCATCTACCATAGTCCTGGACAATTTCCTTGGATGAGACCTGAAATTTTACTGGCATTAGGAACTCCTCATGGGGAAACTCCTCCTACCAATGCAAATCAACAGCTCTGTAACTCATAGTTTTAAAGAGTTTGCTGGGGGCAATGAGAGGTTAAGTGACTTGATTAGAGTCACACAGCCACTATACGTCAGAGGCAAGCCTTAAACCCAGTTTTGAGGCTGGCTCTCTATTCATTATGCCAAACTGCTGCTTCTGGGGCAGGCTAAATACAACCACAAAAAGTCTTAATTAGGCTAGATCAAAATAGTATGGATAACTAAATATTTAACTATTAAAAATTATCTTCCTTGAAATTATGGTCAAGGAGTTTTGAGTTTGGTATTCAATTCATGGTAATTATTTTATGGTAAATTGTAATCTTTTCAGATGAAGTATTGCCTACCCTTTATTACACTTGTGAAGTTGGTTTTCTTGAACCTAAATATTAGACTTTATATTGATCTTTATTAAATATTGTATTATTAAATACGGTACAACATTCTAGCACATCAAGACTTCATCTGAATTGTGGCAAAGTTCTACCAATTACTTTACCATCTGTGTGGTTTTGAGGAAATCACATCATCTGATTCTAGGCCTCAATCTCTTCATTTATAAAATGATGACATGGGATTGGAAATCCTCACTAAGGTCCCTCCAGATATAACGCATTTAATATTTCATGAAGAAGGTGGTACCTGAACTGAGTCTTTCTGGATTGGAAATTTATCTGGAAGTACATGCCAAGTGTAAAGTGATTATTTTTATGAATCGGTACTTGTAATACCATATAGGAGAGATCAGTATGGACAAATGTAAAGGTCTTGATTAGGTTTGGTCAAAAAAAAGAAAAGTATGTATCACTGAAGATTTATGTATTTAATTCATTTTCCCTGAAATTATTATCCAAGAAAGTTCTGAGTTTGTTAGTATATGAATAATTATTATATATTACATTATTATTTTGTAAAGTAAGTTACATCTGTGTTATAGGAAGTTTGTGACTTCACTTCCCAAACCAGGATGAAGTGGGGACTCAGGGATAGTGTAAGGTAGAGAATACACTTACTTGACATCTTTTTTTGTATAAGTACATGTTCCATTGGTAATGTGCACTGGCCACGTGCATTTCTTACATGTGACCCTCAATTTTGTCCCTCATATGAGTCCTTACTTCTCAGTGATATGTGTATTTATTTGTGGGAGAATACACCTGTAAGTTTATGGAGGAAATTTTTTGCTGCTCTATTTACTATGACATTTTGTTAAATGTTTTTGTTTTAACCTAATTGTGTTCCCTGACTATTAAAATTAAAAACATTGGTGGGGCCTTGTGAGTTACAGTTTTATGGGAATGAGACCTATAGCAATGGAATTGTCTTCATTAGGAGTGGAGTGATCCACTGAGGACAAATGGTTCTAGGGCGTATGACCCCTGGTAGTATAGAGAAGTAGCAGCTATGGACACATAGTCACAGATGGGGATTCCATCTGCTTACTATCAATAAGCCCTGTTTTGTCTGTATTCCTTAAAAATCTCAGAATCCACAATTATCTCTATAAGCTCAACTTACCTACAATCTAGATCCAATGCAGTATCTATGAATGAAGCATCTGAATCATAATGCATTTTATCTGAGTTTGTTATGCCTGACTGCTGCATCTCCAATTCTTCTAATTCTTTCATGCATTGATAATACTAGAAAAAATTATAATCTTGGTTAATAGTAGAAGTCACTATTTCACCAGGACTCTCACTATAGCTCTCTCTTTGGTTGTACAAAGTGCTAAGTTTTTATGGATACTCTTTTTTTAACATCATAATAATCATAATAATCCCTAAGAATATTACCCCTGCCTGGTCCTAATTAAGCCACCTCTTACAATATAGAAAAAATAATTAAACAAAAACACCAATATAGTAAATTGTATCTGAAGATGTATACCACATTTTAAGTAGTATCCTGCCAATCTGCCCTGAGGAGAGAGATGTTCCATTATCTGTTTTCCAGGACTATTATTAATTTAATTATTCAGAATTTCACTAACATTTAGCTGCCTTTTCATTTATATTGTTGTAATCACTATGTGTACATTGTTATTTTGGTTCTGTTTATTTTGCTCTAAATCAGTTCATACAAATCTCTCCAAGTTTCTCTGAATTCCTCCTACTAGCCTTAGTGCATTTCTTAGTGCATAATAATATTCCATTGCATTTATATACACTATAGCTTTTCTGTAATTCTTCAACTGGTAGATATTCACTTTGCTTCCAGTTCTTTGTTCCTATAAAGAGTGCTGCTTTGAAAATGTGTATATGTATATGTATATATACATATGTGTGCGTGTGTATACGCACCTTTTTTTTTGTTTGTTTTTTTAGTCTTTGGCCTCCTTAGGGTATATGCCCAATAACAAGATCACTGAGCCAGAGGTTATAAACAATCTAGTAACTTTTCTTGCACAATTCCAAACTGATAACCAGAACAGTTAGAGCAATTTACAGCTCTACCAAAACTGCATAATTATCTTCCTACATTCCGTCCAACACTGACTTTCTGTTTTTAAAAAGAATTATATTTGCTAAACTGTAATATATGAGGTAGTATTTCAGAGTTGTATTAATGTGCATTTCTCTTACCATTAGTGACTTGGAACATATTTTTGTATGATCCTTTACATGTACAATACTTTTTGAAAATTGTTAATAATCTTTTATTACTTTGGAAAATGGTTATTGATTACATATTTATGTCAAATATCCATATGTCTTCTTTATCAGACTTTTTATCAGTGATGACTGATGAAAACATTCCCACTTGACAGTTTTTCTTATTCTTTCTTCATTGATGTTCTTCATGCAAGGGCTTTTAAATTTTATATAATAAAAATTGTTTATTTTGTCATTTATGGTGACCTCTATTCTTTGTTTAAGAACTCTGTGCCTAGCCATAATGGCAAAAGGTAATTCCTTCCTTTTTCCTCTAACTTTTTATGTGAACTTCTTCATCCAGGTGGTGTACACGCTTGTACCTCATTGTTGTATATTGTATATACTGATGGCTTAAAACACCAGGGTTCTATTAATAAAAATAATGGAATTGATTAGATTGATATATAGAGATACAAGAAAACTCCCACTAAGTCCTTTTAGATTACTAAATGAAATACACTGCCATAAACAGGGTCATGCTTTATAATAAATAAGCTTTGTTATGATTCATGTTTTCATGGACTTTTCTTACCTTTGTTTGGTCTGGATCACAATAGTCTAAAAGAGAATCACAAAAATGATATCCCATAGACTCCAAGTCTTTTGTGTTGAAATGGGTACCTCGTCTATTACCTAAAAAAATCAAAGAGCTTATACACTCATGAGAATTAAATTTCATAAGCCTATCTAGTAGCTGAAAAAATAGGATAAATAAATTGTATTACCTCCCAGGAACCTTTTCCTTTGGTTTCTTTCCCTGATACAAGGAATAGGTAGGTAGATTTCCAGAGTAGTTGTATAATATCCTATTATTTCTCTTCAATTGACTACATACAATGTTGGAAGGCAGCTGGGAATATATAATCGCTGAACAGGGGTATGTACACATATAGGTGATGCATATTGATAGTGTCTAGGGAAAACCGGTTAATAGATGGGAACAACACAGGCTCGAGGCTCCCCACCCTGATCCAGACTTTAAAGAAAATAAGAAAACGCTAGGGAAAGCATTTTTCTGGTCTAAGACAAGGGTTCTTCTGCTTTTCACAACACACAGTATCCCTAATTGTTGTACACAACCCTAATAGATATTTTTGAGCAAAGACTAAGGAGAACATGCTTCTATGAGAAAAACTGTTCATTATTAACAAACCTAATTTTATATCATTTTATATTTGCAAAGTACTTTATAAGGATATTAAGATAATATATATGTGGATTGTGTATATTTTACTTTGAAAATGTATCTTCTTTTCTTTTGAGCCTCCTAGCTGGGTTGAGACTTGGGTCTTATTCCCTGAAGTTTGAATATTAGATCAAGGGATGGGGTTATGATTTTGATGAGCGGAGCAATAAGTCTTAGGCCTTGACCCAGGAAAAAGAGAAAATTAAGTGAGAGGGCATCAGCTAGCTGGAAGGACCCTTTGTTCTAAAGAGTTCGGTGTCTGAGCTTAAAATCTTGTAATAGGTATGAGAGGTTTGGTCAAGAGACAGGGGTGGGGAACCTGCGGCCTTGAGGCCACATGTAGCCCTCTAGGTCCTCAAGAGGGAGTCTGTTCTGTGAAGTTTGGATTCAGTCAAAGGGCTGCACTTGAGGACCTAGACCACATGTGGCCTCGAGACCACATGTGGCCTCGAGGCCACAGGTTCCTTAGCCTTGGTCAAGACTTTGAAGAAAATAAGAAAACCCTAGGGAAAGCGTTTTTCTGGTCCAAGACAAGGGTTCTTCTGCTTTTCACAAAAAATAAATAGTAGAAGGAAAATGTTTTTGGACTTTAAGCTAAAAGAACGAGGCTACATCTGTTCTTTCCTTAAGCGGGAGATAACTAAGGATATATCAACTAAGCTGCCTGGAGGCAGAGAGATCAACATCACATCAAGAAAAGCAGCATCCGACAAAACAGTTTGGTGGAGACTAGAGCCCAGCCAAGAAGTATCAGGAAGATACTATGAACCAGCCGAAACAGTACAAAGACATTATTGACCCTGGGGAATCAGAGGTGTGAGATAGCGTGGTAACATGCACTGGCCACGTGCACTTCTTACATGTGACCCTCAATTTTGCTCCTTATATGAGTGCTTACTTCTCAGTGATGTGTGTATTTATTTGTGGGAGAATACACCTTTAAGTTTATGGAGGAAATTTTTTTGCTGCTCTATTTACTATGACATTTTGTTAAATGTTTTTGTTTTAACCTAATTGTGTTCTCTGACTATTAAAATTAAAAACATTGGTGGGGCCTGGTGAGTTACGGTTTTAGGGGAATGAGACCTATAGTAGTGGAATTGTCTTCATTAGGAGTGGAGTGATCCACTGAGGACAAATGGTTCTAGGGCGTGTGACCCCTGGTAGTATAGAGAAGTGGCAGCTACAGGTTCTGGAAAGTCACAGATGGGGATCAGCAGAGGTCTACATTTAAGGGAAACTGAATGAGGACTCTATTAAAGCAGAAAGGGCTCCCAGTACTAGATGTCAGGTAGCCATTTGCCACGCATACTTTCTATGTGTTTCTCTCATTATCTGTGTACTTATACTTTAAGTCTGAGGCCCTTCTTCCCTTGCACTCTCCACCAAGTCAAGACTGCAACCACTCCATAACTTAGCAGGTACTTCGGAATAGCTGCTGTGACTAAAGCATTCATCATCCTGTGGTTAAAGCGATTATGTGCTTCTCAAAATTTGAGAGGCTGGGGCTTGGCAACAGAGATGCAGATTCATAAGCGAAGCCTTTCCAATCTGGTAAAATCTTTTTTTAAGCGTAAACTCTGATGACATGGCTTTTGAGGTCCCAGGATCATCTCCACAACAAGAACATGCATCAGAGTAGAATCTGAGTGGCCACTATCACATTCTTGATCATGTGAAATTTATCTTAACATGGACCAAGCTATTTTATGATATGCTAAATAACAGAGATTTCTTTCTCTTTTTTTTTCTTGGCGAGGCAATTGGGGTTAAGGGACCTGCCCAGGGTCACACAGCTAGTGCGTGTTATGTGTCTGAGGCCGGATTTGAACTCAGGACTTTCTGACTCCAGGGTCGGTGTTCTATCCACTGCATCTACTAACTGCCCCTATAACAGAAATTTCTTAACTGATACCATAGAACATAGGACGGGAGAGGCAGTATGGCATTGTAGACAGAAATCTGGTCTTGAAGTCATGAAGACGTGGGCTTAAATCCTGCTTCTCCCACATACTGGCCATGTGATTATAGGTAAGTCACTGAACCCACTGTCCTAGGCATTGGTATATAGATAGTTCCTCAGGTGGAGCTCCATGCACTGATGACATGATAGGTCCAAAAACCAACCAAACAAACAAAACCTCAAAACAAACCCAACAACAAAAACAAAACAAAAAAACTAACAGAACATGGTTTTTCTAGGTTAGAGAAACAAATTCAAATGTTGCCATTTTAGTAAAAGCCAATAAGGTCTCTCTTTTCATGATGCTATTGTCTTATAAACAGCAAGCTCTATTCTGTTGTTTCCTTGAGCTCAAATGCCTATGTAAGATGAGCGATAAAAGTCACAGTGGATAGTTTAAATCCTGCCTTACATACTTACTGTGTGACCCTGGATAAGTCCCTAAACCCTTATTCTCAGTTTCCTCTTCTGTCAAATGAGAATAATATTACTATGTACCTCCCAGAGTTGTTATAAGGGTCAAATTAAATAAAATATGTAAAGTACTTTGCAAAACTAAAAAGGACTAAACAAATGCCGGCTACTGATAGTATTATTAGCTTATTATATTTAAAAGACTAAAAACTGAGAGAAGAATGTGGCAATGAGCAATCATAGAATGTAAATTATAGCAATTGTATTATAGTACATCATATTGATAAGACTGGCTAATTTTTGATACATTTTTAGAAGGAATTATTTCACTGATAGATTAACTTCCACTTTTGTTTTCATATTTTTACAATGTTTTAGTTTATGACCCTTAAGTGAGGAATACCATCTTACCAAGAGTAGAGCCACAGAAAGTAGCCTCCATGGTAAAGCTGTTTTGGATTCCCATCTTCCACATAACTACCCTTCCTGTCCCTTCTTTGCTCTTCTGAACATCAAACTTACAAGCTGAGAATGAAAACTGGAAAAAAGCACATAACATACTAATGATTCTTAGGGATAGTGGGTTAAAAATGCAAAAGAAGTTACATAAAGTGCTAATTCTCACTAGAGCTTCAGGAATAGTTTTAAAGAAAGTTTGTGATCTCGTGAATCTTTGCAATAGCCACATCATAAGTAAATCATATTTAAAACGGGTTTTAATGCTCGTGGTCAATATAGTAAGTGAGCCCAGAGGATAAGTGGCCAAATGCCCATGTGAGAACTGTGAGGTTCTACAATGTAGGTGCCATCCCATGTCCTTGTTTTTGGTTAACATTACATATATGTGTGCATATGTATATGGATGTATATGTGTGTATGCATATATGTATATGTGTATGTGGATATGTATATATATATTCATATTTAGACATATCACATGACAGCCAGTATTCTGTAGTGGACAAACAGCCAGCCTTGAAGCCACAGAGATCTTGGTTCATGTCCTGCCTGACATATACTATCTGTATGACCCAGGGCAAGTCATCTAACCTCTCAATGTTCCAGGAAACTCTCCAAAACTCTCCTAACCTGAGGTCTATTAACTTTTTAAAAAAACTGATGATCATATTCAATATAATTGGTTTCCTTTGTAATTCAATGTATTTTATTTTATGCATTTAAAAACATTTAAAGAAGAGGTCTATAAGTTTCACCAGACTGGGGTCCATGACACAAGGAAGTTTAGGAACTCCTACTCTAAGATTCTAAGTTTCAGAATAGCTGCTAATCTGGATTGGCTAAGGAAATTGTCTAACTAGGAGTTCAGAAGTCTGAACTATATACAATCACTCAGTTTTGCTATGACACCTGTTTCAAAAATGCAAATTTGCTCCAACTTAATATATTAGGAAACATTGCGAGCATAATTTGATTTTCAAGTTTGCTTTTGTCAGATTTCTTCCAAAGATATAGCAAGAGAACTGAGAAAACCACTACTTCACAATTACTCACATGGTATGATCGTTCTGATATTTACTTCTACAAGCAAACTTAAGTTCTTTGTCAAGGTAAAGTGCCATATTTATTGTGTAGCTTCTGGTGCAGTAGGAGCTATGGGCAGAGGAGAAGATCTGGTCCTCCATTCCCTTCTCACCCCCTTCCCCCTTTCTGCCAGAGATATAGGGATCTTAAAGCCAACTTGCTACCTGTGGCCTGCCCAACTTGCTCCCCGAGGATGAGACACTATTTATTGTGGTATTTATGAATTTTTTATTCATTTAACATGTATAAAACTATGTATAAAACTATGCTATCACTTTTGTTAGGTTCCTATCTTTAAAAAACATGTGTCATTTACAAAGTTTTTGAGCACTGTGCCCTTATCCCCATTTCCCTCCATAAGCCCTATAGTTTTTATTGTGCAATTTTGCGTAACTCAGTGCTTTTTGGCAATGTATGTGTCAAATTATAGCAGAACTGACTATGTAGATATTTATGTATCTGTATGTAAGATAAGTCATTCGCATATTCAGCAAAGTAGTTTTCTCAGAATCTCAGTGAAAGATTCACTGGGATTTCCATTTTTTTTTTTTTTTTTTGCATGTGAAGTTAAATACTGGTATTCTTTAGGAATGCTTAATTTTATTTTTACTTCTCAATAAGGTTCTGTTCTAAATTCTCTTATTTTCTCTATTTACACCTTTCTATTGGTGATCTCTTAAGATCCCATGGATTCAATTATCATCTTTATGTAGATGACTCCTAGAAAAATATATTCATTCAGTCCTAGCCTTTCTCCTTAACAACAGTCCCAAATTATCAAATGCCTAATGGACACCTCTAACTGGATGTCCCATGGTTAACTTCAACTCAACATGTTCCAGACAGAACTCTTGGCTCTTTTCCACCCTCCCCCTAATTCTCTCCTCTTTCTACTTTCTGTTTTTCTACTGAGGGCGCTAACACTGTTGTGGTTCCTAGAGTCTTGACAATAACCGCATGATAAATGTGCAATGTTTAAAACATAATTTAATGTTTATAATCAGTTTAGTGAGTCAGCACAGGGAGTAAGTAGGTGCTCATGTATGAGGTGTGAAGCAACCATAGCATCAGGCTTTACTTCTTCCTCCTATATCCTTCCCTCTTCCTACCTATATCCAATATGATACCAAGTCTTAGCCATTAAACCTCCACAGCATTTCTCATATCTGTCCCCTTCTTACACATTCATCCATCAGGCCCTCATCATTCCTCAGTGGGGCTACTGCAACTGCCTTCAAATTAGTCTCCCTACTTCCAGACTCTTCTCTTTCCAATCCATCCTCCACATAGCTGCCAAATTGGTAATCTTAGAAGGATAGCAGTAGGTGTATCACTACCCTGTTCAAAAAGCTTTAGGGACTCTCTATGGCTTTTAGGATAAAATACAAACTTTTCTGTTTTTTAAAGGGAATTTAAACTTTAAATCCCTTTACAATGTATCCAACCTATCTTCCTAGTGTGATTCCACATTGCTTCTCCTCATGTACTCTGTTCCAGCCAAACATGCCTTACCTGATATTCCATCTCCCATCTCCCATCCCTGTGCCTTTGTCCAGGCTGTCTGCCATGCTTAGAATACATTCTCTCCTCACCTTCACCTGTTAAAATCCCCAGCTTTCTTCAAGGTTCATCACCAGCATCACCTCCTACATGAAGCCTCTTCTGATTCTCATGGTTGTTACCTTCCTCCCCCCCTCCCCCCAATTACTTCATATGCATTTTATATTAACTATGTATGTGTTGTCTCCTCAGGGAGGCTGTAAATCCCATGAAGGCAGGGATTGTTTCGTTTTAATCTCTGTATCTTCAGAATAGGTGCTTAATAAATAGTTAAATGTTGAATGAATAAAAGGATTCAAAACTTCTTAAGTTTGGAGGAAATGATGATTGGTTGATTGGTTTATTCTCCCATTTTAATTTATTATTCTTAAAACCTTGGCTATATAATGGATCTTCCTAAATCTTCTCTATGAGTCTTGAATAAATATTGAGCTTTATAAAGTGTTTAATATATTTTAAAAATATTTTATTGAATATGGTTATCCATTCCATTGGCCAATATGGGTTACATTCAGAACAGTACAGAAAACCTGACATACTTACTTTGTTTGGACAATTCTTGCTCAGCATAAATGGAAATATTCGTTGCTCTAAGCACAACTCTTTATTTTCATCACTATCCTCACAGCCATACATGAAGATATTCCCTCTCCTACTGTGGCCATGAAGGTCACAATATAGGAGAATTTCCCGATCTTCCATTAATCTACAAAGAAGAAAAAGGAAAAGTGGTAGCCAAAGCACTGCCTCTTCAGCTTTCTTCTATGTGTTGAATCAGGGGCACTTGATTTTCAAAAAAAAGTCTACAAAAAAGGAACTCAAAGCTTTCTGGTTTTTCTGTCTGTAACAGCTCCCTATTTCAAGCCATCCTACGTATTGCTAATAAAATATTTTCATCATGCTACTTCCTGTGTCACAAAACCTTTAGAGTCACCTAAAGCATAAAATCCAAACTCTTTCATAGGGCATTCAAAGCCTTTTCCTCATTTTGGTTCTAATCAAATTTTCCAACTTCACCATTTTCCAACAGGACCTTTCTCTCATTACTCTTGTCCACTGCTTTCCACAAACTAATCTTGCTTATTCCAACCTCACAGCCTGTGCTCATGCTATGATCTTCATCTGGAATTACTTCTCCTCTCTTCTCTATCAATTTGAATATTATTCCTATCTTTCCAGATCCAGTTTTCTTATTTTCTTCATAAATCTTTCCTGATCACTTTAGTCCAGGGATTTCTCCCTCCTCTGATCTTATTAATTTCTATGCCACTCATTTGATATTTGGTCACATATTACCTTGTATCAGGAGTGAATATGGACACTGTCTTGATTTTTGAGGAACTCAGGACAAATAGAGAAATATAATCTACAAACTACAAACCAGTGAACCTGGCTTCAAACACCAGCAAAATTTTATAGTATATTATTAAAGGGACAGTTTGGGAGGATTTGTGGATCATGTGGCTCATAGATTTAGAAATAGAAAGAACCACAGAGATCATCTAGTCCAGGTCCTTTATTTAATAGCGGAGGAAACTAAGGGCCAGATAAGTTAAATACTTGCATAAAGTTAGCTGAATATAGTAATCAGCAATACTAGAATATGAACTCTGGCTCCAAACTCAGCCCACTTTCCTTTATAACAGTGGTGATCACTGTTATAGCATCATTAAGAAGGGGTCATGCCAGTGTTGAATGGCATAGACATAATATACTTGGATTATGGCAAAGTATTTGAAAACAAAGTTTCATTCTATCCTTGTGGGAAAGATCTGTGCTAGGTGGGTTCAGAACTGGTTGAATGAATGGCTCCAAAAGTAGTCAATAAATGATCAATGTCAACTATGATCAATGTCAACCCCAGCAATGTGCCTAAGGGTCTTTCCTTGGTCTCTATGGTTTTTAACATTTTTATCAGTGATTTGGACGAAGGCATAAATGATAAATTTATCAGACTTGCTGGGAAGAATAAAAGTATGGATCCAAAAATTATTTTGACAGTCTAGAATGCTGGGCCAACTCTAATAAAATGGAACTTGACAGAAATAAATACTCAGTTCTACATTAGGGTTTACAAAATGAATAACTATAAGATGGGGAAGAGTTCATGTGAAAAGATCTATAGATTTTAGTGGGCTGCATACTTAATATGAATCAATGGCATGGTCTAGCAGCCAAAAAAGCTAATGCAATCCCAGGCTAGATCAATAGACACAGTAACCAAAATGAGGGAGGTGATGGTCCCAGTGTAACTAAGTGTGTTTGGACTGCATCTATAGTATTGTTTTCAGTTCAGTTCCAGGGACATCGTTTTAGGAGACATTGACAAAGCTGGAGTTTGTCCAGAGTAGGATAACCAAGATGGAGAAGGGGACAAACTAGGAGTGTCATACTAGGATTAATAGCAGGAACTAGGCAGGCTTACTCTGAAGAAAAGAAGAGCTATCATGTGAAAGAGAGATTAATCTTCCTTTTCTTGGCCCCAGAAAAGTAGAATTAGGAGAAGCTGGTAGAAGTTGCACAGAGGTGGATTTTAAGTTCTACATAAAGGAAAAACTTCCCTATCAATTAGAGCTGTCTGAAAATGCAATAGATTGCCTTGAGATGGAAGGGCTTCCCCATCAGTGGAGCCTAGATAAACCCTATCAGGCATATGGTTAGATCATTTTTTTTGAAAGCAACTTTTAAGGTAAAGATCAAAGAATGAGGGAATCATAGATCTAGAACTACAATAGGTCTTAGAGATTATCCCAGCCCCCAACTGACGAGGATCACATCATTAAAAACTCCTTAACATTACATTTAAATCCCAAACTGGAAACTGTCTCCTGCTATGGTGTTTCCATGTAGGAGATGGAAATGGAGCCAATAAGTGTGAGTTAACAGGGACAGGGCTTAGACTTTGATAGTTAATAATAGTGCTAAACTACTAGTGATCTAAAAAGACCAAACTCTTATGACATGAGAAATAGCTTTTGATTAGTGTGAAGTATACTTATATGTTTTAAGACATTAATTTTATTAATACTGCCTGAATAAGCATCACACTAACTTTTAACTTGAATATTGATATAAATCTATAAGACAAAGCTTCTGAAATCTTACTATTTTCATTTCTTATGTTGTACTTAAAAGTCCCTTCCTCCACTCAATTCTACATTTGCTGGAGAGGTAATGTTTCTTCTGAAGTAAAGCAGCATTGCTTCAGTTCAGTATTTTATAACAATCTTAATCATTTGGAAGTAAGTTTTAAGTTTTCTTATAAAAATGCTTACCAAGTCTTCCCCCCCAACCCCAAATACTGTATTCTTGCATATTATCCTCCTTGCACATCAATTATTATCGATGCTTATTCCCAATTTGCATGCCTATAGAAATGTTTGAAAGATAAAATTTGCATGTGAAGACTATTGAAAAATTATCCTTGCTATTTCAATATTATTTCCTATCTTGACCTTCTCACACAGCAAACTAAGATACACCAAGAAACTTTAAATAGCTAGCATAAGATTAAAACATTTTTTCTCTGTCCTCTTCATTTATCATGTTCAAAACTGGGAATCACAGGTTTTTCTAGAAAAGTACCAGATGTATAAACTTTTTTGAAGGCAGGGACTACAATGGGATCACAGCACCCAATAATCACTCCTCCAAAATAAAGAAAAACCATGGCTATACTTTGTGTAATTCAAGTATGCCCTAGCCTCTTCTGAGAACTTTTGACTTTCACCTCTGAATTCATGAAATCCAACAGGTTCCCCAGAGATGTGGAGCCTAAATTCTTCTATCATTTCAAACTTAAACTTCTTCCTGTTAGTTCTCCAGAAACAGCAAATCATCTTTCTTTCAGTTCTATTCTTTTTGTTTGTTTGTTTGTTTGTTTTTGGCTAGGCAATGGGGTTAAATGACTTGCCCAGGATCACACAGCTAGTTAAGTGTTATGTGTCTGAGGCCAGATTTGAACTCAGGTCCTCCTGAATCAAGGGCCGGTACTCTATCCATTGCGCCACCTAGCTGCCCCCTTTCCATTCTATTCTTTGAATTTCCAGGACTATTAAACATGAAAAAGAGAGATCCTTTTCACACTTTATTGGCTGATGGCTCTAAAGAACCTTCCCATCATTCACTTCCCTGAAACAGGATTTTTGTAATTTGCAGTAAGGGTTCCACTTACAAATAGGCCAAGGCTGTGGGTGCATGGCTTCTGTCTATTTAGGAAGTATTTATTTAGGATTTCTTTTATTGATTTGGGGAATAACAGAAATGAAAATGGATACTGTTCTTACAGCATGAAATTATTTCTCATAAATAAGGGATTTAAGTTCCTTAGAGTAAATATTATGGCCAGGGAGATTTTAGGAAGTAATGTAGTCAATGACAAAGAGAATGGTACTGATTAAAAAAAACAAAAACAAAAACAAAAACAAACTTGACTAGCACGAATAGCAATCATGAATGAACCTTCTCAAGAAATCTAACAATCGATCAAGTGGAATTAAAGGGACAAATACTCGTATGGAAGGCTACTAGAATTGCTAAGTAAACTGAGGCTTATTTTACCTACGGATCATATTCCTGGTGTACCAAACAGAAGGATAAGAGTCCTTTTGGCCAGATGTGTAGCAACGGTTCAAATCCTGTCCAGCTAAGGAACATCGATAATTTCCCACAATCACACCGTCTGGATTCAGCATAGGTATCACTTTGAAGATAAATGTGTCCCGGAGCAGCTGAGCATCACTTGAATCTCCTAGGATGTAATCCAGGAAGCCTTTCATGATCCAAGAACTATTGGTTTCTCCTGGATGTACCCTGGCGGTCAAAATCACCACCTTACGCTTTCTTGATTCAGTATTCTTCAAAGGAGTAGTAGTTGTTAAAACATATACCATGTTCCTAGCAAGTGTGTGGCAGAGCACACGGATTTTACAATACTGTGACCTGATTGGGTCATTAGTGATACCTAAAAGGTAGTCTTGCAGGCTGGCATATGTATATGGGTAGCAGTGAGCAAAGTAACATGTATCTTTGTCATATGGAAATTGGAAAGTCCACGTAAGAGAAAAGAACTGACGCCCCTCTTGCCCTATGTTGTTCCTAAAATGCTTGATTTGGTCTCCTGTTCTCTGCCAGCCAATATTGTTTGTCTTGGCCTCTTTTTCAGAGCAGAAGAGAGGGCGCGTGCCTTGATTGTACAGACTATCTGGCTTAGTGAAGTTGACAATGGTGAAATGATAGGGTATCCCTGCTTGAGTGTTGGTCACTTGAAAGTAATACCACTGGGTGTGTCTACTTGTGAAGAGGTCAGGGCGCAGAGTCAACTGATATTCATAATCAGCGCTAATATAAGGAAGGGAAAAAAAAACAAGTTATAAGCAGCATTTGGCATGAGCAAATAAGCAAGAGAGCTTAACTTCTACCTATAAACCTCTAGACTTTTGTAGTGTGGGCTCAGTTGTATAAACTATAACTTGGCCAGTGCGCTCTAATATGTACCTAACAAAAGATGAGAGCTACAAAAGTCCTATGGGCAAATTTGTAGGAACCATTTATTCTGTATAGCAGTGGTATCAAACTTAAATAGAAACAGATCATCCTTGCAAGCATATATTGAGAAAACCACAAATTAACATTATCTGTATTGTATTATATTTTTACTTATTGTGTTAAACATTTTCTAATTACATTTTTTAATTTTGTTTTGTTTTTCAGTGAGGCCATTGGGGTTAAGTGACTTGCCCAGAGCCACACATGCAGTGAGTTTTTATGTGTCTGACGCTGGATTTGAACTCAGGTCCTACTGACTCCAGAGCTGGTGCTCTATCCACTGCGTCTAATTACATTTTAATTTTGTTTGGTACACACTCAGGCTGGTGACTGCTGAGAGCTTTTCTGCTGCACAGTTTTTAACGTTATCTTTGCATTTCCTTGTATCTGAATAGTGCTTAGATGGAACACAGGTGAAAGCTGGGGATTTGACCAAATATCTAATGTTTCATCTTAACCAAGTTTCCCAGGCAAGTTAAATGATTAAACTAAAAAAAGTTTTGGGACTAAAGGAAGTATCACTCTGATTGTGCCTATCCCATGAATTGTTTTCTTTAGATTTCTGTCTAGCTTTCATTAGTTTATATTTGTGGAACCTTAAAAAAAAAGCTCTTAGAAATTTAAAAAAACAACAATTCATGATTTCATGCCTTATATCTAGTAATATTCCTCCTTGAGGAAAGGGATCACTTTTTAAAATTCATGTAATTTTGTAGCTTCTAACTAGACAGTAAATATTTTGAGAAAAGATACACTGGCCTGGCACCTAGTAGGTGCCCAGATGAAGATAATTAAAACTGTTTTTTAAAAATCTAGTTCATATCTTTGGTTTATTATCAAAAGAAATTTCTGATATTAATTGATAAGCAAAATTATTAAAAAGCTTAGACCCACGGGGTGTGTGTGTGTGTGTGTGTGTGTGTGAATAGGGGTTAACTGGAACACTAGCACATATATTTACAGGAAGATACTGCATTATAAGGGCAAAACAGCCATTTTAAGGAAACTTTTTCTTTTAGTAATTCACAGGCAATATTATTTAGTTATATTAGTTTCTTCTTCACAGAGTACCTTGGTATTCTGAGAGTAAAATTATTTGGTATATGGAATTTTTCAAACTTTTTCCTCAATGATTAATAAACTTACTCCTGGTCATACCCTCTCTATCCCAGCAATTCTGAACAACACTGAATTTGGCATCATTCAAACATTCCCCATCTCTATTCCCTGTTTCCTTATTCTTTCCCCTCAACCTATTTCCCACCCTAGTGTTCTAAAGTTACCTGCCCCTTCCATTGTGTTCCTTGAAATGCCTGGTCCATAAGCAACAAGCTTAAATCTTTCCCTTTCCCATTCCTATTCTACTGGTTCTCCCTGAGATCTGGTTCCCTTTTCATGACAAAGCCTCCCTCCCTACTCTTTCCAGCAAGGTTTGGACTTTCACTTATTCCCCCAAACTCACTGGCCGACCTGAGGGAGTTGAAACACTCCCTGCTTCCCACTTCCACTTCCCTCTATCACCATCCCTCCGTAACTTCTCCACCTTTGAGGTTGACTCACTCCATCTCTACCACCCAACCCAAATCTGGTAGCTGTTGTCTACTAATTTCCAGATCACTCTCCTTCTTTCCTCATTGAGTTCAGTGCCTGATTCAGTCTTTTTTTTCTTCCCTCAACTCCTGCCCTCACACTAGAGGACTTCAAAATACATACTGATACTCCTTCAAGCATCCTAACTTCATATGACCTACTTCTTCACCCCAGCTCAGCCATATACAACGATACTCATACCTTTTATCTTTCCATCACCCATAAATGCTCCACTTTCACATTCTAGGACTCTGAAATTCCCTTATCTGATGACAATCTGTTGTTTTTCTGCCTGTCTCTACTTTGCATCATGAACCCTGCTCTTCACCTACACCATGACCTCCAACCCCTTGACACCTCAGTTCTCTACCAGGTCACCACCCTTGCACTGGCCACACTTTTATTCTTTCCCCACCTTGACTCCTTGGTGAACCAGTTCAAATCTATACAGTCCTCTGCCCCCTAACACTGAGATCTTGCCCTGCCAATCCTTAGCCTGGGATCACTCCCACCTTTCACTGCCTTCACTCCTACGGATGTGCTACTGAAGAAAGTTAAACTGTGCTAATGAGGTCTCTTACAAATTTACATTACATAATAAGCTGAACTGGGTCCTCACCAAGGCAATCCTTTTACATCTCCCTAATTAAATCACAACCCCACACACCACGATAGCTCTTCCAAACTTTTGATTCCTCTTTAAACTTTCATGCCTCTCCTTACCTTGACCCGCTCAGGTGAGAATAATCTCATATTTTGTTGAAAAAAATTTAGATCATTTGCCCAAAGCTGCTCCTCCCCTTTTCTTCATCTCACATCTTCAGATGCCTTCTGCTATTATCTCCTCCTTTACCCCTTTCTCATATGAAGATGTGACCCTTCTCTTTGCCAAGGCAAATCCCTTTATGTGAAAAAGTGATCCCATTCAATCTGATCTCCAGAGAACTGTCCCTCTCTCATCCCTAATCTCTCATTAACCTTCATTCTCTTTTTTGTCTAATGGTGCTTCCCAACTGCCTACAGACATGCCATCTTCCCCATCATCAAAGAACCCTCACTGGTTATTATCCTATATCTCGCCTCCCTTTCATGGCTAAACTCCTTGAAAAAGCTGTTTATAATAGGTGTCTCCACTTTCCTTCTGCTCTCTTCTTAAGTCTATAATTTGGCTTCCAATCTCATCATCCAACCAAAACTACTGTCTCCAAAGTTACTAATGATGTAACTCTCAAATCTAATGGCTTTTTTTTTCAATCTTCCTCCTTCCTGATCTCTCTGCAGCCTTTAATGCTGTCAATCATCCTCTTTCTCCTGGATACCCTCTTGTCTCTAGGTTTTTATGACACTACTCTCTCCTGGTTCTCCTACTACTTATCTGATCACTCCTCAATCTACTCTGCTGGATCTTCATCCAGATCATACCTACTAACCATGGATGTCCCAGGGGGCTCTATCTTAGACCCTCTTTTCTTCTTTATCTATACTATTTCACTTAGTGATTTTATTAGCTCTCATGGGTTCATTATCTCTATGCTGATGCCTCACCTCTGCTGACTTTCAGTCGTGTCTCCAACTGTCTATTGGATATCTCAAAATGAAAGTCCTGTAGGTATCTTAAACTCAACATGTCTAAAACTGAACTTATCCTCTTTCTCTCCAAACCCTTCTTCTTTCCTAACTTCCTTATTACTCTTAAGAATACCACCATCCAACCAGTCACCTTGAAACTTAGGTGTCATCTTCAATGCCTGATTGTTTCTCACCACCCTACCCCCCCCCCCACCTCCCACATCCAATTTCTTGCCAAGGCTTGCCAATTTTACCTTTATTACACCTCTCCTACATGCTTCCTTCTGTCCTTTGACACTACCACTACCCTGGTGTAGACCTTGGATCTCCTCTTATATGCATTATTTTCAGAGGTTACTAGTTGGTCTCTGTGCTACAAGTCTCTCTCCACTCCAGTCCACCCTCTCTTCAGCTGTCAAAGTGATCTTCCCAAAGAGCAGGTCTGACCATGTCACCATCACTACCACCTTCTCAATAAATGCCAGGAACTCCCTATCACGTCCAGGATCAAATGTTAAAAAAATCCTGTTTGGTATTCAAAGCACTTCATAACCTCCTCCTCAAGCTTTCCAGTTTTCTTATACTTTATACATGTATTCTAGGATCCAGTGATGCTGGCCTCCTTGCTGCTCCTGAAACAGGACATCCCACCTCTAGTTCTGGGTACTTCCCTGGCTGAATCTCATGCGTAGAATGTTCGCCCTTCTCATCACCACCTCCTGGCTTCCCTAGCTTCTTTCGAGATCCAGCTAAAATCCCACTTTCTATGGGAAGCCATTCCTAGTCCCTCCTAATTATGCCTTGTCTCTGTTGATCACTTCCAATTTATCCTGAATATAGGTTGTTTGTACGTAGTTGTTTGTATATTGTCTCCCATTAGATTGTGAGCTCCCTGAAAGCAGAGACTTTTACCTTTCTCTATATCTTCAGGGCATAATCCAGTGCCTGGCACAAAGCAGGTGCTTAATAAATGTTTATTGACCAACTGAATCAAAATGCTCTTTGGGAAATTTGATTTTAACATGTGCAGACCATTGCATTAGTCACTGAAGACCCTACTGTTCAAAGAAGTACCCAAAGCTAGCTGATGTCCTAGCTCCTCAAATCAAAGGAATTTTAAAACCTACACTTTGACCACCTTTTGCAGATTACCACTCTCAAACCTGGCTTCAAATATCAAAGTGTTGTCATAGTCCTCCACAGGTAGAATTTCTAAATGCTTCTGAAGAGATCTGACACCTCCTATTCGAGAATACATGAAACAGCAGTCTTTGTAAGCTGGTAAGGGAAGCAAAACAAATGGATGTCAGGGTCTGTCTGTTATGGCACAAATTACTATGAATATAGTTTGAGACTTGGGGTAAAAATTGTATACTCCCATTTTAAATCTATGTAATTTACATTGTTATAGTAGGATCAAGAATGCCCAAGAGTAAACCACTGTAAGGATTCCACATTTCATCTTCTGAAAACAAAATTTTTGCAGAATTTTCTATCATAGAATAGACAATGATTGTTGTCCCATTTCCATTAAATAGCTGTTTATTCTCTTTTATGTTTAAGCAAATGTACTCTCAGGCTAGAAGCTAACTAACACTTAAAGTTAGAAACTAAAAGGTGCCTTTAAAATGGATCTCCTAAGATGATTACATCCATTCTTCATCCTTAAGACAATCCTGCCTAGAATCTTCTAATTGGAAAGCATACGAGAGGTCAGCTAGCCCAACCTCCACCTGATGCTTGAATGATTTCTATAAGGTTCCCAAGTGCTTAATAAATCTAGTGCCTAGCACCTACAGTAAAGGAAACTCATGATGTAGTTCATTCCATATTTGAACCACCCTGATTGTTAAGTTCTTCCTTAGATAGAGCCAAAAATCTGTTTGCCTATAACTTTTACCTACTGGTACTAGTTTTTACCTTTTGGAACCACAATGAGTAAAACATATATCTAACATGACAAATATTGGAAGTCCTTCAAATATATGAAGACAAAATTACATCCCTCTCCCTTGACCAATTTTTATTTTTTACAAGCTAAATATCTTCAATTCTTTCGACTATTCCTCAAATGACTTATTTTTGAGTCTAATCATTGTTATTCTCCTTTGGATATACTCTTACTCATCAATGTCTATTTCTTTCTAAAAATACTCCAGATGTGGTTGGCCCACTTCAGAGAAAAGTAGCATCTCCCTAATTGCAGAAATTATACTTTCTCTAATGAAACTCAAGTTCAAATTAGCAATTTTGTCAGCTGTTATCACACTGTTGACTTATTCTAAACTTGCACTCAATTAGACCCTTCTAAGTTTTTATTCATGAGGATATGTCCTAGTCAAATCCTGTACCTATGCAGTTTAGTTTTAGAGCTTAAGTGCAGGAAATTTGAGATCTTGATTCCACATTCTAAAATATTATTTATCCTTCCCAGCTTCATGTTATACTCAAATTGATAAGTATATCACCAATGTCTTTACAAAAATTAAGCAGAACAGGACAAGAACAGAATCCCATAGACATGCTAGCAGAGGTTTCTCTCTGGTAGCAGTTCTTAAAATGTGGTCCAAGTGGTGTTTGGGGGAGTCCCTAAGGCATCCATGAAGTCAAAAACTATTTTCAAAATAATATGAAGATGCTATTTGCCTAAAATGCTCTTCCTTTTTCCAACTAGATATCTGTGTGAGGCTGGATTATCTTCATATATTTAAATCAAAACAACATTTTACATGGATTGAACGCAGAAGCAGGTATGACAATACAGCTCTCTTCTATTAAGCCAAATAGTAAAGAGATTTGCAAAAATATGTAAAACAGTGCCACTTGCTTTATTTGGCCTCACTACTCAGGTCAAAGCAAAGACGTGTGTTCCAAAATTTCCAAGAAATTGATAATCAGGAAGCTGATATAAACAAAAGCTTTATTATCATGCAACACAAGCAAATAAAAGCATATAAACACACAGTATACAGTAATATAAAAAGAGAGACATTTGTCCCCATGGATGCAAGAAACTCACCCAGAATGAGGGGGAAGGAGAAAACAGGCTCAAAGTTGGAGTTTGGGTGGCAAAACCATGTACCCTAAGAATAAGCTTAGTTGAGAACAGGTAATTGGTGCCAAATGTAGGAGAGGGCTTTCCTGATTAATCAGATCCAGATATGGTGGAGAAGTCCTCAGGGTCACTTATCAATATCAGGCTTAGGTGAGGTTCAAGTGAGGGGAATTTCTTTATCTGGACCACAAACAGCTAACTATCTAAGGCAACAGAAGAATGACTCAGGACCCCTGAAGCAGGCCAAGAGGTTCATCCAATCAAAAGCTGAAAGCATTATCTGTCTGACACAGAGTTAACATAGATAAGAACAGTGGAAAAGTACAAACACGGCTGACTTAGCCTTTATGCTTTTATGGGCGTTAGGAACACTTAGCCTAAGTGACTCCATATTGGAGTCTCATCATTATAATTACAATCTCAAACTGTAACATCAAACAATATAAAGCTTACAATTATAACACCACTCCTTTAACTAATTAGAAAATAGAGCCATTTTTATTAAAATGTTATTTATATTTACATGTAATAGGTTGCTATTTTTAAATGAATTAATTTTTTTTCAAAATTTATGTTTAAATTTCTAACATGGTTTAAATATTGATAGATATAAACTACATAAACAAAAGCTCTTTG